GATACTGTACTTTTGTTTTCTGCTTACTGAGTTTATAGCGGGCGTACTTCTACCGCGCTGCGCAGCGCTGCACTGGGTAATAAAAAGAATATACAACCGTTAGTTGGCGTCCTACACAGGCATGACGTTTTTACGAAAGGGACTTTGCTCTCTTGTTCTATTTATACTCTTTGATTAAGCCCACTGGGCATTCATAAAACCTGTCTGCTGCCCTCTATAACTGCAGTATAGCTAAGTTCGATCATTGTTGGTTTTAAACTGGGGTTTCAGTATTTTATGATTATTTACTTACGTTATAAAAAATTCAAAGAGTCCTTTACTAAATGTAATTATTCGAGTAGTGATTTACATGGAGCTGTTTATATTTGTACATATTTAAAAAAATAACCAAGTCAGTCGCTTCAAGGTTTAGTAAATTAGGGTTTGTTTTATGTTAAAATTAAAATAAACAATTCAAATGACACTTACTGGATGCACAGATTGGAACAATGGGGTGTCTGTGGATTTACAGACTTTAACTAAACGAATAATTCCTTATTGATTGACTGTGCTACTTGAGGATCTAAAGTAAACAGAATCGGTATAATTTATCTGTCGAGTTTCGAGAATGATAGGCCTATTTTATTTTTGCTTGTTTAAAATGTATTACTCTCTCATCAAACGTGAACCATATGCACAATCAAAACAAAATCAAGACTGATGCCTAGCAGATACTTGGGCCCATGGGCATTGATCGGTGGTCGAGAGGAGGACACGACCCCCACTATTCACCACTCGTCTATAGTTAAAATATACACATCTAGATGTGTATAAGAGACAGCAATAATACATACTACATAGACTTAGGCCTATAACAGTAAACCAATCCTTTCTAGCTAGGGCACCCAAGTCCTAGCCGCCTAGGCCTACGCCTAGGTGAAGTCTACGCTTGCTCCTACTAGTACATAGGCCTAGTAGTAGAGAAGGCCTAGGCTTACTTCTATGCCATACTAATGATTGGAAATATAAGTCATAATCAAAGTCTATACCCTTCAAATAACCTACTATGTGTGTTTGCCGTTCAATTTAATCTTCATTTACTCGTCCTGCGGCCTTTTGCTCATGGATTTTGAGGATATTCTTTCACAAAATAATATTTGTTTTATAATATGAACACAAAACTCGGCGCATGCAACGAACAAATACTCTTTTCTGATTGGACAATAGTTGTC